ATTATATATGTTTGTTTTAACATATTTTGATCATTTGCGGTGAAAGGAGGCCTAGCGCCTAGCCGTATACGCGGAAGTATAGGTGGGGTCTAGGCGGATAATTATTTTTTTGATATATATAGGTATAAAAATGATATATATAATATTGTATATACAATGAATAAAACATGAATATATTTATATTTAGAAATGAGAAGTCTCAAATATTAAATTTAGTAAGTTTTTATGTAGAATAACATGTAGTTTGTTTTAAATATACATATAAGTATATAGCCTTAAAATGTAAATTAAAAGTCTTATAAATATATACAAATATAAAAGATATGATGTCTACATTTATTTCAAAATGAATTTAACTAATAGACGTAATCCTTAGAGGCTAAAAATAAATATTGATTATGATAAACAAATTTTATTTTACAATATAATAAAAAATTGTTATTTTAAAAAAAAAATGTATATGGCCGTCTAATATCCGCCTAGATTGCGTAATCTCCGCCTAAACCGCATAAATGCCCGTCTAAACCGCATAAACATCCGTATTTTTAAGAACCGCATAAATCACCGAATAACCTAAAATCGATGCGCCCGGCATCCGCGTATCGCCAGGGCGCCGTCTAGGCACCCGCCTAGCCCGCGTTTTAGAACACTGATTATTTGTCTCAATAATTTTCTGAATTCAACAAAGTGAATCGGATCAAAACGAATTATCAAATCTCATATAATAATTTATGTAAACATATGTGAAATTTTTAACTAATTCTCAAGATCTCCGAATTTCTAACACTCACATATACTTTAATAGGAAAAAAAAACAGTTGTACTTTAAATTAGCAATCATTTCAAATAATCGATGAACTAAGTTTTCTAAGTAAAAAACTCAAAAATAGTAAAAACGATGAAGAGAATAAGCAATATGTCTTTGTATTGATTCAAGTTGCGGATCGCTTTCAAAGAGAATTACATCATATATTTATACCAATCTAACTCGGTTGAATAAACTCTAAAGAAATATGGAAAACCTAATAATTCTAGATTATTTTTCATTATTCATATTGATATTTTTCTTTTTATTTAGAGCCCGCTAGGTCGGTCGAATCGTCATGGGCCTGGGCCGAACTCGTCTGCTGGATCGAGGCTCCTTTGATGGGCCCTCCAGGTCGATTTGGATCTGGGTCGGGTCTTGGTGACGGGTGCTAAACCCGGTACCATCAATAAGCTCCTCCCTCAATTCGGTGGTCGACGCAGTAAGATCATCGAATTGTATTTGAAATAACTGATTCGATATGGATCTTGCATCGTCGCAAGTCTTGACACGTGGTCTATTTTAAATCGCTTGTTTCCGCGAGACACCGAAGAGTCATGTTAGTTTAATCCCAGCATGTCATCTAGGGTTTAATCATTACCCTCAATTTTTGTATCCTGGTTATAATTATCGGGTCTTGTAAGACCTTCCATAATAATCTGTTCTAAAAGATCATTACTTTCTCTCACTTCATCTATCGGATTGTTCTTCCAATAATCATGCCTTCCGCTCGCGACCTTGTCTCGTCATCACATAAAGAAGTTAGGACCTCCTTGGACTCTAATTAAAATGTGAATAAATTAAACAGAGGAGGATTCTTTTTCGTAGCCACAAACAAAATTGATGTAATAGACTAAGAAAGGTCTTGTTTCTGTTTTGATTTCAAACGTATGAAAGAAGACATATAGTGGATTAGCTGAACTGTGAAAACGCATGTCACAAAACGAAAGCATACCTCACGGACCACACGGTGAGACCAAATGTTTTCGTAAAAGATATGATTGACGACTAGTGTGGACTCAACAACTATGACCGTAGATATGAAGATAAGATCACTGAGATGGAGAGTGATGAATTAGTGTTATTGCTTAATCGGATTTCAGTTGCCTCCTCCGACTCAGATCAAATTGAAGCTTCAGATGCGGTTCATATCCAGATGAACAGATTCGTCAATGTACTTCGCTCAAAACCCTATGTCGTTCACCAAGTTGATCAACTATTTGTACCAGTTCTATACATTGACGATTCTGTTCATCTGGATACGAACCGCATTTGAAGTTGCAATTTGATATGAGTCGGAGGAGGGAATTGAAATCCGATTAATCAATAACACTAATTCATCACTGTCCACCTCAGTGATCTTCTCTTCATATCTACGGTCATAGTTGTTGAGTCCACACCAGTCGTCAATCATATCTTTTATGAAAACATTTGGTCTCACCGTGAGGTATGCTTTCGTTTTGGGACATGCGTTTTCACATTTCAACCAAACCACTATACGTCTTCTTTCATACGTCTCTGAAATCAAAACAGAAACAAGACCTTTCTTAGTCTATTACAGTCATAGAAAGATAAAATTCACATCAACTATTCAGTATTCGTCTATTCACTTCCCCAAAATCGATCATAATTTTGAACAAATTGAAAACAAAAAACAAACCTGCCCAGAAGCAATGACGACAAGGTCGATCATAATCTTGTTCGTCAAGAAACACTTGAAGTTATCTGAAACCACCAATTTCGTTGTATCGGATTCTTTCCTCTGTTTCTTGTCTATGTGTGCATCATCAAAATCGATATTCTCGGCTTCTTTCCTCAAACACGACAAGACTCCAATGGCTACATCAATTTCGTTCGTGGCTCCGAAAAAGAGCCTCCTCTGTTTAATTTAGAGCTGTCAAAATGGGTTGACCGCGTCCAAATGGTCATGTCCAAGCGGACATTTTCTTTTGCGGACAAGTAATAACCAT